AGCCGATGCTGGATTAATCTCGCGTAAACGGGATTTTCGTCGCGACGACGTAAACGCGAACGACAACCCTGTTTGTTCTTTTAGTAGATCGTACATCTTGTTAACGGCGATGTTCGCGATATCCGAATCACGCCGGCGTGTAATTTAATACGTAACCCTGTCGGCTATCGTATTATACCAATACCGTATAAATACGACGAACGAAGGACCCTCGAGACGGTGGACTTTAATTTTCGAGGTTGCTTTCGAATCTCGGGGAGACGCACGGAGCATTCGTGGCTATCGTCACGCTCCAGTTTTACGCGAATGACGTTAGGGATTCGCAGCAACGCGGTGGTGGCGAAGACGACCGTCGTAAAGAATATTTTATGTATTTCGACGATCGCGGTGCCGTTTTTGTTCCGGGGTCGCAAAGCGATCGCGTCGTTTCTACGCGCGTCAGGCCAATTCAATGCCAGCGAGATTCGCGGGCCGACGTTTACGAGATCGTTTATTAGGTGACGTTTCCATCCAACGACTTTACTCTTCTTCTCTAGAGTTCTAAATCGAACCGGATTACCGCTAACCGCTACATCTTGTCGAACTTATTGCCGCGTATCGCGGAGACTTCTCGGAATCTTTCAAAATCGCGAAACGCTACAAATAAATATTGATGCTTCGAAAGAAGGTTGCGCCGATCTTGTATGTTGTTACGTCCGATATAAATCCCGAATGAAATTCTCGCGATGCCGGTTTCACGGTCAGCGGTCGGATCGATTAATGCTTCTTTTTTTTCTTTTTTTTTTGGTAGCAACATCGACGAACGTGCTCGTGATAAACGCGGCCGATTAAAGCAAGAAATCGCGAATCGAAGAGATCGAAAAACGGTTTGTCGCGCGAACGGTACGCGTTAGTCGCGTTTGTGTCTCTCGGTGACGACGGGGGTTCGTTTTACGATCGTTGCAGTCGTCGGCAGACGAGACCTAACGCGTTAAAGTCGTGAATATTCCCAAAGACGTGCCGTTATGCAACGACAATGTGGGTCAGTGCACGGGTCTATTACGCTCGTTTACGCGTTTTCTACGGTCAGCTGCTCGCGGGGCCCGAACTAAGCCCGCGTTGTAAAATCATATTTTCCGTCCTGTTTGTTTCACCTTTTGCGGCGGCAGCGCGTCCCCGCTAACCGCTCGGTTCCAACGTGTAATCGAGCGTGATCAAAATACATTCGTAAACCCGTTCTCGTTTTTGAACGCGTTGGCCCCGTGTGTCGGTCGAGTCGCGAATCGTCCAGACGAAATCGCCCGCGACAATAGATTCTGACGATTCGAATCCACGACAAATATTTCGAAACAAATATTTTATTCGAATAATAATAATTATAGTAATAATAATGATAACGACAACAATTTATTCGTCTTCATTTCAGAAATCCTGTTGTCGACAAACGCGAACATTCGTATCAGTGTAAAATACGTGTAAGACCGACGGCAACGTCGATATTATTGGTAAACCGAATCGAGACTCGCGAACATTTTCTACGTCCGAAGATTCGCGTAAAAAGATCGACGGATCCTTGTTGGTATCGAGTCAATTTTTCTGCGTGGTACGAGACGTTTATTTTTTCATCGCGTGCTATTTAAATTTCCGTAATCCAGGAGACAACAGGCTGGATCGTTCGTTACCGCGAACCGCTTTACTATCGAAGGACACCGAGGCGTTCCTTGAGTCGTAGCGAATAGAACCGAGCGAGGGAACCTGAACGAACGAATACGTTGAACGGTAACCGAAGGGCCGGCATTTCCTTTTTCGATCATCTTTCGTAAGAGATATTCGAAGATCCGTTTCGACACGCGGATCGATTAATGAGAGGCGGATAAACGAAAGATTCGCGTTGTTCGAGTCCTATTCGGAACGCGATAACCTTCGAAATTTTAAAAATAGTTCGACTATTAGAATTCGGTAGCGGACGAGCAATCCGCTGACCAGACTCGACTCGCGTCAAAATGATTTTAACGTGTTTTAACGTGGAGAGATCGCAGACGAACCCCTACGGTCAATCGAATTACCAACGATTCGCGTGTTCTGGAAGCCTGTTTTTTTTCACAGCGATCAAAGTACGAGACCCGCTTCTAGTTTTCGATGCATTATTTCGAGAGCGTGAGATACACGATCGCGTCGCGTCGGCCCGAAACATCAACGTCCTGCGAAACGGAGCACGCCAACGGATGCACACGATCACGGTACTTTAACGTTCCTTCCTCGTAGCGCTCGCATATTTTCGCGCTCGTTGAAAGTTTACGAGCTCGATAAACTTTGCCCGCGCGTTTCTAACCTAACGAAATCGGCCTCGGCCCGACTCGTGAATTATCGGGGTATCGAAACCGTTACAGAGCCACGGACGAATCTACGTTTCTTATCGTCAGATTCGATCGAAGCAAATGAACTAAGGCGGGTTTAGGCGTATAATTTTTCCTTTTATAGGCCTGCATATCCGTTCAAATATAACGCCGTTTTTGTCTTACCTAGGATACGGGATCGATTAGGTCGACAAATTTGTTTCTTTAGACAAATTTTCGAGCGCACGGAACAGGAATCGGACAGACGCTTAAGTAAACCACGTACCGATGAAAGTTGACACGCGTCACTCGCGTAAGGTAAGAACGAAAACGTAAGGTTGTCGAAAGGATCGGCGGGACGAGAGGGAACGTAGTAATAGCGCGCGATCCGAAAGGAACCGGTAGGTAGACCGAGTTGGAAAAAGTTTGGAAGGTTCGTGGGGCACGAGGGACGACGGGAAGGACAGGTTTCTGGATGAACTGGATAAACTAGGAAGAGCGAGATCGCGCGTCGCCCGAGAGAGGAAATTCGTCGGGACGAGATTTGCCGCGCGATCGGTCTAGTCTCGAAGAAGGAAATCTGTTTTGTAGTCGAAAGAGACACCGTCGACGTTGACGTTGACGTTGACGGTGACGACGACGG